GGGACGCACCGAGGCACCACCCAGGGGCGAAGGAACGGACATGGAGACCAAGATCAGAGTAGACCAGCCACCTCGAGAGATGCGGGCGGCGCGCGCAGCGGGCGATGCAAGTCACCCAAGTTGAGTCAGGAACAAACAAGCCAAGACCAGGTGCTTGACCCACGAAACAGTCAGACCTAGCGAGCTGCTAGATTTCTTGCTCTCGACACCAGCACCGCGACGTCGTCACTGGCGGCGGGCGCATGGATCCATCTAGATCAACGAAGCTATACCTCAGACTCCCTAGAGGCCTTAGAAAGCGTAGAAGCCTTAGAGGTTTCGGTAGGAATGGATCTTTCAAAGATGATGCGGCCCTTCACTGTGAGGCGCCGTGGCAAGCTTGGGTTCTCCTGCTGCTGAACTTGACCTACCAGCAAACTGGTGGACTGTGAGCGTCGATCGCGCTCGGGGAATTCGGAGATAAGAGGTCAGGTTCTAGGTGGATCATGGGCAGGGTTGAGATACACATACACTGGCGGCTAGCGAGGCAGATGGCTATTATAGGGGCTGGGGAAGTGTTCAGGGTTGTCGCAGGGCAGGCGGCGCACGTCGCAGACAGTGTCGAAAATGGGTGGAGAGGGGGGGAACGATCATGGGCCATGGGCGATGACGACGATGAATGATGAGGTGTCAAACGAGAGCGCTACCAGAGTATACCTACGACCGAATGCGACAAGCGCCAACAACCCGCAGAGCTGTGCCTCTGTTGGGCCTGGATGTGCCTAGATTTGGATATTCTGGCTTAGGAAGCCCTGACGGCGATCTGTCGCTTGGACAGTTTGCGGGCGGAGAGGGCTGAGGGTTATGGAGAGTCGCGATGGGCCACCGCCTTATTAAGCCAGAATCGACGCCGGAATCGACCGACAATGCAGAGCGACGGTAGCAATCGCTACGTATAACCACAGGCGACTGCTGCCAGACACTGAAAACGGACGGCAAGTCGCAATGCATGACGAGATGGGGTGCGAGACAGGATGAGTCCGACTGAGGCTGTGGCCATTTGGCCCTTTCAACCTCTCGTTGTTGTTGGGATAGCTGTTGATTCTGCTCTCCTTCGATGTGTCTCAGTCAAGCGATGCATTTTGACACAATATGCCGCGATGCGACACGACTAGGTTCATGGCCTGCGCTGCCTGTATGCATGTAGGCCGGGCGATGGGACAACTCTGCCGGTCTTCTGGCCAGGCTCTTCTACCTCCTGAAAGGCCAGGCAATCGAGAATCCGACAGAGTTCGAGTCCGCTCCTTGTTTGTTGTCTGGCGTCCTCAATGTGGG